TATTTATTTATTTATTTATTTATTTATTTATTTATTTATTTATTTATTTATTTATTTATTTATTTATCTATTTATTTATTTATCTATTTATTTACTTATTTATCTATTTACTTATCTATTTATTTATTATGTGTTTTAGAAATATACAAAAAGTCAGGGTTAAAGTTACAATTTGTATGTTTATACAGCAGATGGTCTAGAGTTTGTCTTTTTTCATATATCATGATGTATTGCTTTATTAAAACTTATCACTTCAGAGATCCTATGTCGTGCTTCAAGAACTAGCACTGTTCAACAACATTTACTACGATTGTAAAATATTTTGCTTTCAAATGGATTCAAAATTTCAAACGAAGCATCAGTGGCCCAGTTAGGAGCCTCAGTGGCCTAGTTAGAAGGCTAATTCTTCATCATTCCTATATTAGAACTAATAATTTAAATATTGCAAGACCAAATTAGAGTTCGCCTGATATTTTATCATTCATGTATTATCATTGTTTCGTTTGAAAACAGTAGACATAGATTTTGATTTCTACCAATTGTTTTGGTGGTAATAACTTATTGTAGGCCTATGTATAATTTTAGTAATGTCTCTTTCTATTTTTTGTGATAAAGTTCAATAATGTACTTCAATCGTTTTAATTAAAGTTCCCAATCGCCGTCTTCGTCAACATGATTTATTTTCTGTTCATTTTGTCGTGTTAGTGTCTGTAAAAATGGTTTTATTTCACGATTATCTAGTTTGTATAATGATTTTGTTGCAAAATATAGTAAAAATGATAATGATAATAATGATATTAATAATAATATTAGTAGTAATAATAATAATAATAATAATAATAATAATAATAATAATAATAATAATAATATTAATAAATGTTTTTCGTATCTTGTAATATTTTTGTTGATGTTTATTTTTGCAATTTCGGCCTGTAAGTTGGAACAAAGCGTTCCTGTTGGTAATAAATAAAAATTAATTAAAAACAAAATTACACAGGGATATCATACCAGTGAAATGTTTCGCTGTAAAACACTTTATTAAAGACAACAACATAAAAAATACATTGTTAACTTATAGTGCTATGTGCATTTGAGAATTAGCTAAATCTGTATCAGACGTTCTATCCTAATAATACAATCAATGATGATAAGTAAAAATAACAATAAAGATAAGAAAAAATCAAATAACCAAATTGGAATTACCAAAATTAAAATCAGATGTAACGTTAATGAAAACTTAATTGACTTAGGCGTCAGTAGAGTTAAATTATCTTTATGTTGAGCTTGTTGTTTTTGGGATGTCTGGGGTTTTTTTCAATTTTTAATTATTAACTCTTCTTTACGAAGCAAATTCAGTTCGTGACTTGATGAAAGACTCCCGAGATATGTCCAAGACATGATCGTTGTTAATTGTGCAGACTAACCGTTATATGAAGACAGCTAAACAACCAAGTCAAATGATACGGAAATCAATGCAGCAGACGATCATGTTTCTAATATTATGCGGAGTCACCATTCCAATCAGAATTGCCGGGTTTTATATGTTGTTCTGTCACAAACATTGTTATTGTTCCGGCGATTTAGACGTGAATTTTGTTTAGCCATTTTCATTGTTTATATCTCCTGAGACTCTCATAACTTCTTTTATTTTAAAGTGACTTCTTTGAGACTTGACGTCATAATACATTTCTGGCCCCTTTTCAGTATTCTGTGCCTGTTGATATTAAGTTTTGTCAAATTAAATACAAAAATCACCCAGATATCCATTATTCACCTTGTTGTCTATAGTGTATGCGTACGCGCTCGCTGACCAGTAGAATATATTTATTTTTATGCTCGACTATAATGTATGCAAACGTCACAGTGTTAATATACGTGTGTCAAAACTGTACTATTAATAACAACTAACCTATATATGTCATCATCATTTTTAAATCAAATGCACATTGATTAACCGCACCCTCTTGAGTTCATATAAGTTACGGTACCACAATGAGTTTTTGTATCATAATTATCAAGAGTAGTATTTGCATCAACTTTAGTATAGGCCTACATGTGTACAAGTTAATCCATTATATTCTGAGTGTGTTTTATGAGTTAAAATAACAGTTTGAAAAAATAAAACAATTTTATCAACGTTTATATTGTTTACCGTTGTGCAGCTATGTTCATTTACTTGTTATAAGTATTGCTATTTATAACTTCGAGCTATAATATTATTATATCGCTTATGTTAATGTATAATATAAGTACAGTTACGCGTGTCATATTTATTGATATACAGTAATCCAATCCAATCAGAACAACTGTAAAGCGCCTTTCTTTGCAGATACGAAGCGCTCCACCCCACATATTTAAGCACCTCACAACCCACAAGCAGCCGTGATCATTGCCTAACCCAAGCACAGAACATGTAAGCAAATCAAAAGAAGCAGTGGCAAAGTTTGGAATCATAAAAAATAATGAAACAATAAATAAAATAAGAATACTTGATAGTAATATTTATTGATAATATTTATATTCAATATTGTCATAAATGTTGTGGCTGATTTTGTTGTTTATATCACTGTTGTTGTTGTTATTTGTTGTGGCTGTTTCTGTCGCTGCTTATGTCGTTGATGTCTTTACTATAGTTTTTACTCTAGATGATATAGCGTACTGTACCGAAGTCTGAAT